TCAATGGAATTGTAACAGCTATATATGTCAGAGCGGTAGTAGATTGGGGGAGAGGGGCTATCACTTTGCGAGGGATGTAAATGTTTAACTATTACATTGTTTTGTACACCTGAAACTAAAATTAAAAAAAAGAATATCCCTGCAAGTGCTTGGTAAGGACAGTGTCGGGTCAGGATGGGTGAATGAACAGAGGGTTACCGAGAGGCTGTCTAGGGTGTGCCTACTCTGCCAGGGCTGGGGCTGGGCTTTGCACTGTCCTCCCTCTCAATCCTCCCACATGTATGGGCAAGTGGTGATGTCCCCTTCATACAAGAGGAAACTGAAGTGCAGAGAGGTTCAGAAATACGCCTAGGGTTATGTCACTATTAGAAAATTGGGGTTCAAATGCAAGTGAATCTGACCCCAAAGTCTATGCTGTTAAAAATTTTTAACTTTTACATTTCAAGAAAGAAATGCTTACATTTGGGAGGAAAGGGTCATCTTTTTGTATCATTTTTTGCTTCATAAAGTTGCTAAGAAGTATTTTGTTTGTATGTATGATGTTTTAAAGAACAGTGATAAAAATATCTTGCTTTAAAATAAAAAGGAAAATCATGACAAAATGAAAATATGTGGAAGTCATAAATTAAAGGTCAAAAACTGTCTTGGTTTGTATTAATCTAAAATGGAAATGACATTCTGAACTCCGTATTCATACAACTGTCAACTGAATATTTCAACTTCACAGTGTAAACGTAAGTAGGCAAACTGAGCCTGACTCCTTCTACCAAGCATGCTTCCCAGCCTGTCTGCCCCATTTCAGTGAACTGCCCCACCATCTGCTTTGCCCAAACCATACATATAGGAGTCACTGGAGACTCTGGGATGTCCCTCAAATCAAACCCTTCCTCTCTAGTTTCTCTTCAGCTGGCCTAGTCAGGCTCTCATCATGTCTGGTTTGGACTACTCAATTGGTCCTCTGACTCAATTGGTCGTCTCCCTCTAGTCCTCTCCTATTCCATTCTATAGCTATATTGGTCTTTCAAAAATTCACACTTGATGATATTACCAGGCTAAAATCCAAGTGTTTCCCAGGATAGAAATCAGAAAACTTCATCACTGCTCCCAAATCTATGCTCTCGCTTTCCCAACTCTCCTCCTGCTGCCTGCCACCAGCTCTAATAGTTTGGTAAACACACAACACTTCAGCCCTACCAAACTATTGACACTTTCACTGTGATGTGACTGATTACTTTTACTCTTGGCCCATCTAGTCCTATCCTTTGTTTTTAAAAGATTTTATTGGGGAACTGGGGGAGGGAACAGTGCTGGGGAATCAGGGAAAGGGAACGGACAAGTTGCTGTGCCCTTGTTCCTCAGTCCAGTTGTGGAGGATGTTGCTCCACTGGCCCATGTTGGCATTGTGATCATTGCGCATTTCCCGGCGGGGGAAGATAGGTTACCATGGCTCACNGATGTCATATGTTTTGTCAAGAAGCATCAATTTACACTTGTGATTAGCAGGGATTAGATTAATAATGCAACTGATTTTTTTCCTTGTCACACAATGAATTAAAAGTAAATACAGAGTGAAAATGTGAAGCCATGTTATAATTTGGTATTATTAAATTGTAGTTAGAGAAACTATTCATTGAAACATATACTGTAAAACAAGCGAGCAAACAAACAAACAAACAAAAACAAGGTAGGCATTTCTGTCAATTTAGTGAGCTAAACAAATGAGATTTTACCTTTCTTCACAGGTTGGAAGGTCGTCTCTTCTGAGTTCATGGGAAGCCCCTGTGGGTCTCTGTTCTTGATTTCTAACAGTGAGACTGCACAAAACACGACATTTACATGTCAGTTGAGATCACTCTGTATCAAGGAAAGCTTTTTTACAAATATTCTAAAGAGAACTCCAGATTACCAAGTAGAATATCTTTCTTTTCCTGAAACAAAAAACATGACCCCCAACTGGTTTTCTTAAGAAAACCAAAAGTATGACAATAAGGTATTAGCAAAATAACCATCAACAAGACAAATAATAACAAGTGTTGGAGAGGCTGTGGAGAAAAAGGAACTCTCATACACTATTGGTGGGAATGCAGATTGGAGCAGCCATTAAGGAAGGCAGTGTGGAGGTTCCTCAAAAAATGTAGAATTACCATATGACCCAGCAATCCCTCTCCTGGGTATTTACCCAAACAATCTGAAAACATTTATCTGTAAAGATATATGTGCTCCAGTGTCCATTGTAGCTTTATTTATGGCAGCCAAGACATGGAAACAATCAGTGTTCTTTGATAGATGATTGGATAAAGAAGATGTGGT